TTTTTGATAATTGATAATTAATATGAATTTTAAAGCTTTTATAATTAAAACCCAGCACTTCATCAAATTAAAAAATATATATATATATTCATTTTATGCAAAAATGTGATTTTGCGTTTAGATGATTTTTTTACAGAAATGATTTCCCGTTCAAAATATTTTAATAAGGTTGCGATGAGTTTTTTGCAACGGCTATTAAGTTATTTTGTACCGCTTCGCACTAAAAGAGGTTCTAAAAAGAACAATGTTCAACTGCAAGGTCTGCCAGTAAAAATGTTTAAGCTTAAAGCATCACAACACAATTCATTTAAACCAAGAACTCGTAATACTAAACTAAAATGTCAAAACGAATGACAATGTCAGGAAATAAATAAATAAATGTGACAACTTGACATTTTTAACGGCAGAACCACCACATGAATCATCAGGGGGAAATTTAAATTCCAGTTAGTCAGGCCGAATATGTCCATGGCCCATTCAAGTAATTAGTATAAAATTCAATATTTCACCTTATTTTCCAAATCATATAGCGTTAAAATACAGGCCATGAAATTTGAATAATGACCAGTGTATATCGTGATTCTACACACTCTTTTTTATCAGTCTGAGTCCCGAACTTGCATAAGCGACGCAAGATATGACAATTGCCCATATTGGATTGCCAAATATCGAGAAAATGTTACCGAAGCATCTTCTTCGGACAGGTGTTACATCGTCCTCGGATCTAGCCCACTTCGACCGCAAATGAAAAACGAAAACAAACGCTGAAAAATCAACCGTCGTTGGTCAATGACCAGCAGCGCGCTGGCTGGGTTCCACGATGGTACAGTTAAGACCAGGCGGTTGAGGACCGCAGTGCGCGCGCCTCTTGTGCTCCAGCATCTCTTTACTCTCGGTGGTTCTCTGATTTTAAAGAGGCTTCTTTTGTTTACTTCCACGGCCGGCTTCGATGACGAACATTTTTTTCCCGCCTTCGTGGATTCCTGAGATTGCAAGCGACCGTTTATTTTTCTTTATTCAATGACTCCTTTCATTCTATAATACATTTATTTCTTTCATACAATCTGCAATTATGCAGAATATAGAGTTGTTAAGATATATAATAATAATAGCTCCCGTATATATAGCGTTTAACGCCTTGGGAATAGGTATACAAGGAAGGTAATGTGGCCAGCACTACGCTTCAACCGCCTATTATTACCTCAGGATTGTGAATCCCAAGTACTCATTTAAGGCTGAGTCGACCTAGGTACCCAAACTATTTGTATTTTAATAAAAATAGTCAGCTGATGAAATGGTGTGGGAATCGAACCCACTACCTTCAGATTCGTAGACGAGAGCCTGTACCTCTACGCCCCCGGGCACCTGTTGTTAAGATACAATCGAAAAAATAGCTCTTAGATACAAAAAAAATATGCGCATGTTTGAAGTAAAATTTCTTCTTACTTCCGTCTGTGTGTCTGTCTCTCTGTCTGCCCGGCTGTCCGTTTGAGGACTCCATTCGGGTACCTCCATCCACGTGCCGAGTTTGGTTCCAATTGACTCATAATTAAGAGAGAAAAATCCTGATGATTTCGTCCATTTAGAGACATCGGTTCGAAACGTCGAGGGCGTCATCTTGCAGCCCGTTCTTAATTATGCCGAAATCGACCAACATTTTTCTTCAATATCAAATCCTTAGTCCCACCCTGATGGAGATGTAAGTCAACTAGTAAAGATGTACATCAACTTTTGACGTTTCTTATGTCAAAACTAACTGTCACAGTGACACGTGTCGTACACGGTTAAGTTGGCCTTGATCCACTCCGCTTTTTCCACACAAATTTCATTTAAACCGGACGATTTTTTTATTTGATTCATTGATGATGGGGTTTCGTAGTGCACGAAACTTCGTCAAAATAAAATATAAAAAGATGGAGCTCGAAGAGTACATCCCGAGTTTCAGGGCATAGAGGGCCCGAGTTACAACACTCCAAAGACCCATTAAATTGGACGATTTTTTCGCCATTGATGGTGGAGTTTTATAGTGCACGAAACGTTGTCAAAATATCACGAAAGATGGGGCTCTTAACGAAGTTGACTAGCTGTCTAATAAATAGATTGTGATTAAACTTTTATTATTGTTTTTTTTTTAATTAAACGAAAATATCCGGAAGTGTTATATAATGTTCTAATTGCTTTCTAGTGTAATTATAAATAATAATATAATAATTAGACTACAATTTAACTTTCTTAAAATAAAAGACAGGGGCACAGACACAGCTAGGCCTTTATCCAAGGACTTAGCTCTAAAACCGCAAAAAAACTGCTAACGCTTAGCAGGAATAAAGTGCGGATTACAACAGGCCTCTTGACAGGACACATGGCTGTCAAGTGTTACCTGAACAAGCTCAACCTGTATCAAAGAAGTCTTTGCTGCTTTGGGAAAGCTAGGCTAGAACCGGAGGAACTATGCTGCCATCCTATCAAGAACCTGCATAAGTTAGTGCAGGGTACAGGGGTAGGAGAATGGGTGCAGGTATAGAAAGGGGACAAACACAATAGGCCTTACAAGTCGCAGTGTTTCCGGCAGAGAACGGCCCCTTGTGGAAAGAAAAACTTTCTTAAAATGGCAGATGTCATTTAAATTTTAAAAAAATGGCTGCATAGTTTTATTTTCACTGTATGCTTCATAGTTTCACTCGATATTTTATATAGGTACTTATTTAAGCCTTTCCCCTACCATTTTATTTAACATTGCTACCAAATGTATAACAATGGGAATAAACAATAAAAAGCAACAGCACGTATTGTTTGTGGACAGAGTTAACTACTAGATACAACAAAATTTTATTTTATTACCTAAGTACTCGTTTTTGTCCTAGTAATTTTGTTGCTCAGTGTTTCTCATCCGTTCTAGAAATGTGTAGCGAAAAATATTGACAATTTTTATTTTTTTCACACGGTTATTATTTATAATGTACAGGGTGGGCCGTTTGATATTAAAGTAGGTTTGTTGATAGATTATCTTAGACAAATGTTTCATCATTATTATTTTCAGCTTATTCAACCATTTCCAATTATGGTGTAGCCTCCCTCGTATATTTAGCATTGTCGTCTATTGTTGGCTATGCGGCCCCAATTTATCCCTGCTAATTTCCTAATATTATGGTTCCATCTCAGGTTTGGTCTTCTTCTAGGTTTCTTAATTCCTGGTGGGTACCATGCTGTAATTTTTGTGGTCCATCTGTTGTCCGTCCTGCCCATTATTACTTGAAGGCTTTGATTCTGTGGATGACACTTATTACCTGGGTCTTTTGTTGTATCCACTCTATTATATTACTGTCTTTCTTGGTTATTCCCAGCATAATTTCGTTCCAGTGAGCGTTGTGCGACCTGCAGTTTCCTTATAATGTCCGTTTAAAGTGTCGTTACTTGAACAACAGACAAATGTTATGAGAGTATAAGAGCACAATTTCTTTTAAATAAATATTAACGCTATTCTCTCTTGAACAAACTATTTTTTTCTATCATTCTGAATATTTCCTTTAATAAATTGGTCCTCTGTAATCAAAAGGACGTACTAGTAGATGTTGATAAGTTGCAGCTATCTTTATATAGCGTTACTACAAATTCATTTACCCTGCAAATATTAATTAATATGCAATTTGAGATTGTACCTAACAGTTTTCAATTACACCAGAAATAACATTTCTTTACAGGATAACGTTATATGAAGACGTGAAATAATTATAAATCTAGAATTATAACGTGTATTTAATAGAGAATAATTATACATAATTCTAATTGAACTATTTATTGCTCAAATATTTACAATTAATTCTATTAAAGCTTCTTAATTAGTTTAATTAATAATTAACTTAAATATAATTATTTTTTTGTTTAACCTACTTATAATAGGTAGATAGAAATGTTCTGTAAAATTTAAAATTTATTTTACAGGGTAAAAATAAATAAGTATCCATAATAATGTTTATCCATAATCAAGGGTAATACCAATGATATCTAAAGAGATGTCATTGAGTAATACCCTTATACCATCGAAAAAAAAACAGCGTCAGAGACGGCTACCAGAGAGGGCTCGGAAATAAAGATTCCTGTCATTTTATATGGGGAATGTCATCGATCGTTATTATTTCGTAGCCAACTGGATATACTATATTAACAGCACTGATGACAGCACTCGAGTAGCAATAATTTACTTATATCTTTTTACCCCTCCCCCCTAATTCTGAAATACTTTAATTGATTGTTTTTATAGTGAAAAACAGTCAATCTAGACTGAGGAATTATTTTTTATTTTTGTCCCTACACTTTCTTTTTCTACATAGAAAAAAAGATAAGATTTATTTCCAATAGCACTGTACACAGAAGCAGTAAAAAAGACAGTAGAAAAGGCATTTATTTCTATCTAGGATTGACCTAATATTATATGATATAATGACATTTTACTTTTTGCTTGGTGCATGTACTTAAATTAATAATAATATTAATAAATAAATAAAATTAATATAGTTGGAAAATCTAATTATTAAAATGCGACAAATTACAAAAAATTACAAAATTAGAAACACAATTACACAAAAAATATTTTCATTATTTTTAATAATTCTAATTAATATTTTCTCAAAATTAGCAAGTGCTTTCTATTTTGATTTTCGAAGATTTGCATAAAGAATATTATGCTTTTTATAATTAAAAATTAAATATAAAAAATCAGTTGTTATCTCTTATTACTTATAAGTTAAAAATTACTATTCATAAGTTTACCACAAATTTAATATATTGTAAAAATCGTATAATTAAAAGTTGGATTAAAGTTGAAAAAGTTTCAATTTTTCAAAATTATCTTATGCCCACAAATTAAATATGTTTCGTAGGGCGCATAATTAAAAAGGCAACGCCGTCCGATTTCCAGGGTTTTTTTCCGGGCCTTACGCCCGATCAATGTCCTTAATTTCCCAAAATACGCCCTACACACCGCCCTCCCTCGCCCTTACCTCTTGTCCGCTCCGGAACGCCGCTTCGTATCCTAGCCGCTCCACCGAAATTCGTCCAGGTTCTAAAAAAACACCGATTCGCGCCACTTTTCAGTCATAAAATTACCCTTTTTCTGACAGTCACTTCCTTCTGTTTGTCCGTCGGTTGATTATTTCGGTGCACCCGATATTTACTACATACACTCGCGCACGCACCGGTAAAGATGACGCTCCTCGGACTGTGTTATCTCGACGGTGGCGCCGAGCCGTGTTCCGTTTGGCCTCTGGTTTGGCTTCGAATTTTGAAACAACAGTGCCTCCCTACACCGAACGACTCGACTGACGCAGGCTCGAAGGACCGAAGCGATGGCCGTACGGACAAGGCAGATCGCGAGAATCGTGATGAGGACGGCGGCTACCAAACCACCAAAACACCCTGTAGTCGGTGGGATCCTAGAGAGAATTACGGGGGAGGATATGAAAGTTATCCTAGTAAAGTTTTCTGTAATCCTTAAGAGTCTATTACACTGTTATTTGAATATGTAGCGGAATTCAATTACCTCGTTAGTTTGATTTCGGAGATCCAATATCGACTCAGAAATTCAGCACAGGATTAGCAGCGCCTCAAGAGCATTCTGGAAATTAAAAGACAGGGTTTTCTACAATCACGGCAATAATAATTCCCACCATGGTATATGGAAGCGAAACCTGGGTGCCGCCGACACATGAACGCACTGAACAAGTTGCCACAGAGACATCTTAGACAACTCTTAAGAATCAAATGGTTCCATCATGTCACAAACGTATATCGGTCCTTGAAAAAACTAACTGCGAGAGTATTGAAGTCATGATTACAAAGTCCCGTTTAAGATGGGCTGTCCCGGTTACAGTTCATGTTGATCGCGTAAAACAATATTGAAATCGTGGCTTTGTCATAATATTTATGTGTTATTAACAAGTTATTAATGTTTTTATAGGTCAGTACGACACAAACCGAGCATCGGTGTACGTCGGGCAAAAAATACCCGTTAAGTTTTTGTTCTTTCTTCCGTATGTGGCTTAGTGTTAGCGGTTGGAATCGCCATGAATGTTTTTAGGCAAAATATGGATTAATATGTTTTGGTGCCTGAAGAAGCGACAATAAAGTCGCGAAACGTCGCAAAAACATTGTTTCCTTTCGAGCCTTCCCAAACACCCACGATTTTTTTTCTTTCTGCGTAATAATATTTAAGTATTTTCGATTTTTGCTAGTGCAGTTATTGAGAATATAAAACACTCAAGTACGAGGTTTGTGTGATATGTAACGTTGTTTCTGGTAGTAAAAAAGAATTCGAACTAGGCATCGTGTTGTGTTGTGACAATTTCAAAAGTTAATACAATTGCGGAAAATATGTTAACGCGCAAAGGAGAGCGTAATTAGGGCGTTGTTGGGTGCAATGTTGTTGCAATTCAACTTCCCCGGATATACAACTCGCCCGAAACAACATTTAGCTTCATAGTTTCTCACACCGATTTGATCAAAAGCGAAAATGGATTCAAGCAGTTCACGAAACAAGTGAGTAAACAAAGTGCTCGTTACATAATAAAAAAAAATAGAGAGGTCTCAAAGTTACAATCAATGAAATCAAAATTATGAGCCTTCAGTCAAATAACTAATCGAAAATCGAGTTGTGTGACAGTTGTATCTATCATTTTAATAGTCTGTCGAAATCTCCTGTGAGTCACTGGACACACTATATAGATGAATACGTTTTTATTTGTATAGTAGGTACTTTCTTAAAACCCCTGGTAATTCAATTCGACAACCGAAGAATTTAAACTCCAAGACGGCATACATACGCAAGCCGCTGTTAAAGGTCTCGATATTGCCTCAAGGGATTCTTTCGAGAATTGCATAGGAAGTTCAGATGAAACGCTTCACCGCATTCTGGCGGTTATTTCTACCAGTCAAATGCAGTCGCAGGTCGCCAAAAGAATATAAGACTAAAAGGCTTCAGATGGCTAGCTACCTGTCTACTGGTTGCGGTTTTTAATTATCACTCCGATTGCAGCTTGCAGTTTTGAGGAATCGGATATATTCGGAAAGAAGCCCATAATATACCGGATATGCCAATACTAACTATGTAGGTATATCTAGCATATACAGGGTGGTCCGAACTGTATTCCGGAAACATCGGCAGGATATCCTGCAGATAAAAATAAGTAAAAAGGTTCGTATAAATGTATGTCCTAAAATGCTTAGTTTCAGAGATACAGGGTGTAGAAGTTTCATTTTTATTTCGATTTTTTCCAAATAATTTCTGAAGTAACGTTAATATTTGGATGAAAATTGGTGTCTGGAAGTTTTTTGACATGAGAAATTTGATTTTGGTGTCAATATGACTCCTACTACCCCAGTTTTTAATAACAGCTCGCACTTAATCTGGCACGTTAAAATCGTATTCTAACAGATTCCGTGAGTCCATAATTTACACCCAGTAGTATACTTTTTTGGGATCATAACTGGCACGATAGGATCACCTAAACTAATTTATTACACGTTTAAAAGGAAAATCCATGGAGTAATTACGGATTTCTATTACTTTTATCCGATTCCTTCCTTACAACTGCTTATACAGGGTTGTTCACCACATACGACACGGAATATTGTAGCTAAACGATTAGATTTTTGCAAATTGTAAGTTTTGGGTTCGTTGAAGGACTATTAGAGGTACAATTTAAAAATAATTGTACAAGATACAGAGTGTCCCAAATAAGTAAAAAATATTATAGTTGTATTTTTTTTAAATGGAACACCCTGTATATTATTCTATTTTTAGATTCTACGGTTGAAATAAAGGTAAATTTGATTAAGGTTTATTACACTTAAACCTTACCGTTTTTGAAATATTTGTGAAATTTGCAGTAAAAAATAAGAAGAAAGTAAGGCTTCATTTTTCCAAGCGTATTAAAAGTTTTAATACTAACTATTTACTAAAGATTATTTATTGATCAGATATTGTGTTGCAAAAATAAAAATTATACTACTTTATACAGAGTGTCCAAAAATTTATATTAAATAATTATTAGCTTTAAACTGCAATATCTTGTTTAATTTAAATGGAACAACCTGTATATTTTACGTGAATTAGATGCACAATTTAATTTTATCATCAAATTGTAATATACCATTTTTTACATATATCTTCAAGTTTTCGTAGAAAATGCATTTTCTTATAATTTAGATCTCATTAACACTATATACCCATGGAATATTGACATTTTAAATTTTTTTAAAGGAACATATATGTGTACAAAATGTACAGGTGATAAAAATAATAATATTGCAAGCCCATTTGTTTACAAAAACTATTTAAATCTTTGTAAAAGAGTATACCAATTATTACTAATTATTAAAATATACCACCATTATTTCTGCCCCTAAAATTAGTTAATTACATACTTAATTGTTTTATTAATTAATAAATTGAATAATTTATTAATTAAATAAATGTAGATTTGACTCAGAAATCAATACAATAGTAAGTTATGAAAATGAACGTCATAAATAAGCATTTGTCATAAAATGAAATAAAATTTATAAGGTGTTACTTTTTACCACACTGTCTAATACATATACAAAATTTAGTTTTTTAGTATTTGGAGCAATTATTATTACTCAACGTAAACGGTTAATTAATGTAGTTTGAATCATATTAATTAGTCCGCTTTAACAAAAAATATTTAAACAACTTTTTATCTTTTAATGAAATAAGCGAACTATATCTACAATATTAATATCTGTAATTTTTGAAAATTTGTTACATCTTTAAAAATAATCTAAAATATCAATATTCCATGGATATAGTGATAAAGGAGATTTAAATTATAAGAAAATGCATTTTCTACGAAAACTTGAAGAGATAGGTAAAAAATGGTATAATACAATTTGATAGACAATTAAATTGTGCATCTGATACTCGTAAAATATACAGGGTTTTCCATTTAAATTAAACAACTTATTGCCGTTTAAAGCTATAGTAATTATTTAATATAAATTTTTAGACACTCTGTATAAGGTAGTAGTATTTTGTTATTATTGCAAAACAATATCTGATCAATAAATAAACGTCAGTAAATATTTAGTATTATCCTTGGAGAAATGAAACCTTAAAATTTTTACTGCATTTTCATAAAATTTGAAATATTTCAAAAACGGTAATGTTTAAATGTAATAAACCTTAATAGAATCTACCTTTATTTAAATCGTAGAATCTAAAAATACAATAATATACAACGTATTCCATTTAAAAAATACAACTATAATTATTTTTACTTATTTGAGACACTCTGTATCTTGAAAAAATATTTTTAAATTGTAGCTCCAATAGTCCTTCAACGAACCCAAAACTTACAATTTGTAAAAATCTAATCGTTTAGCTACAATACTCCGTGTTGTATGTGGTGAACAACCCTGTATATGCTCGGAAGTTATTTCTCGAGATTTCGACACGCAATCTCTCAATTATTCTAGATACCATCTTAAAATACTAGAATATTCGGCCGCATATTAACGCATATGTCCGTCACCTATCAACTTCTTCATCGACTATATGTATAGAGGGCTTGTTTCTCTCTACAATTTCCTCTCTCACAATGTACCGTTTGTGTCCAGGAAGGGTTCATAGTGTCATAGATGTCGATTTTAGAAAGAAATCAGTACATGTATATATTATTTCGTATATTTTTCATTTTATTGATTTTATGGAAAGCACTGTTCATTAAAATGTTGTATCCTATGTTATAGGGCTTGTTTCTCATTACAATTTCCTGTCTCACAATGTACCGTTTGTGTCCAGGAAAGGTTCATAGTTTCATAGATGTCGATTTTCGAAAGAAATCAGTACATGTATATTATTTAGTATAATTTTCATTTTAGTGATTATATGGAAAGCACTGTTCATTAAAATGTTGTATCCTATGTTATAGGGCTTGTTTCTCTCTACAATTTCCTGTCTCACAATGTACCGTTTGTGTCCAGGAAGGGTTCATAGTTTCATAGATATCGATTTTCGAAAGAAGCATGTAATCATGTAAATAAGCAAGTACATGTATATTATTCCGTATATTTTTCATTTTATTGATTTTATGGAAAGCACTGTTCATTAAAATGTTGTATCCTATGTTATAGGTCTTGTTTCTCTCTACAATTTCCTGTCTCACAATGTACCGTTTGTGTCCAGGAAGGGTTCATAGTGTCATAGATGTCGATTTTAGAAAGAAATC